TTCATTCATTCATTTCATTCATTTCATTCAATTCATTCAGTTCATTCATTCATTTCATTCATTCATTTCATTCATTCATTTCATTCATTCATTTCATTCATTCATTTCATTCATTCATGTCATTCATTCAGTTCATTCATTCATTTCATTCATTTCATTCATTTCATTCATTCAGTTCATTCATTCATTTCATTCATTTCATTCATTTCATTCATTCATTCATTCATTCATTTCATTCATTCATTCGTTCATTCGTTCATTCAATCATTCATTCGTTCATTCCTTCATTCATTCATTCATTTTTGCAGATGATCACACAATGAGGCCATCTTCGAGATCATCCAGCGGGAAGATGCAAGGAATTTGCCATACTACCTGAAGGATGAGGAGTGGCCTTGTTTGGGCTTGTTTGGGGCTTCGAGGGCGCGGGTGAGGCCGGCCCAGGCTGTTTGTGCTTGGACTGCAAGGCATTCACGGCAAAGAAATAGCATCCCGCCAGCCAGCGGAAGCGAAGCCAAAGGATTGGTTCGGTCGCCCATGAATCACGGTGTGTCAGGACATGAAATTTTTCTGTGTTTTGTTCTCTGGCGCGCAATTGCAAGACGCTATAAGTGGCACTCCAGGCAAACCGCAACACTTGAGTATCAAGTTCATGACTGTCTGCAGAACTTGGATTTGTATGGATGTGACTGGATGTGTACCGTGACTCCGGTGGTGACGTCAGCTTTGTGGGAGGAGCTCGACTTCTTTATCATTGGCCTTGCGTTTGGAACCCCAATATTGCATGGATGCAACTGATGGACATTGCTCCTGAGAGGCGTTGCTTTTCAGGGGCGAGGGTGATGAAACCAGGATTCTTGGGTCTTTTCAAGCATTTCTTCGTCACTTCTTCTAAAAACTCTGGATTCAATCACCTGCATCTCTAGGGCACACAGACATTTGTATCCGGGTCTCCTCGGGGGCACTGGTGGCTGAAACGGACGAATGAGAGCACAGACTCAAACAGCGCAGAAGAAAGCCATCAGGGCCTATCTCTGCGCCATTGTGCTTCGCTTCGTCACGCTTCCGGGCCGGCAGGTGCGGCCCACATGCCAAGACCTACCTCCCGCAGCTGGTGGAAAGGGAGCGCGGAACTCTGCTTTCACACCTGACCTTTCGCACTGAAAAGGCGCACCATGACACCACCTGTTGCAACAACTTACAAGAAAAAAGGGCAGATAAAACACATACTGTAATCAAACCATCAAGGTGGCTCCATTGGTTCAAGGCAGATGACAACGAAGCACCAAAGTCGTTTTGTGAGTGTCGTTTTGTGAGTAACTGCACTTTGATCATAAGGGGCGCAATGTGATTCCCCCCCAGTGCCCATGACAGACCTGCTCGGTGCAGGACAAGAATCCCATTTATATTGCGCGGGGCTATGCACCTCCAACCTACTCCAGAGTGGCGCGGGGGCCCGGAGAGTTGAGAGGCTTTGAAGGAAGCTGGCCAGCTCGCTGGCCCCTACACCCCCGTGCAGTCTAGGGGGGACTTTTCGTTGCTTGTGGAGACTTCAGATCACATCTTGCATAGACGATCAATCAACCGCAGGCCATTGAAGAGCAATCAAAAGATATCAAAAGTAGCTCTCCGAAATCGAGCCAGCGAATGGCATACTCCAGACCGGTTGTGGGTTGAGAGTTGATTCTTTTTGAGATTGTTTCTGGGAGTGCGAAGCTCAAGCTTTCCAATCAATGTCAACTGGAGGTCAAGATCCGTTTCTATGGTCCGCAGCTGAGAATCACCGGCTGGATTTCGTTGAACAGCTCGGCAACAACTTGGGACTTGTCGATGAATGCACAACTTTCAGGACTTGTCTTGGTACTGAAGCTGATGAGCTCTTGGAAATCTTTCGGAGACCCAACTTGTGCAAACTTGCGGTAAATGTACATCCATGTTATAAGTTATAACATTGTACAAC